ATATTTCAATAATACAGTTAATACAAAAAGATTTCTGAATCTTTTTGAATATATATATATATATATATATATATGTGTGTGTGTGTGTGTGTGTGTGTAGGCCGGGGGGAGTTCAAACGAGAGCTTCTCTGTTTTGCGAAAATACGAGAACAATTTTGGGCCTCTGAACTTTTTAATCAATAATTTAAATTATAATAAATATTATAATTTAAAAGAGTGATAATGTAATTAGGTATTTTAAAGGAAATCTATATATGTGTGTGTGTGTGAGAGAGAGAGAGAGAGAGAGAGGAAATTTGTAGATAAGATGTATGTAACCTACCATTTATAAATAAACGTTATAAATAGAAATGATGATTTTTTTTTATTCTCCAACACCGGTCATGCATTGACCACATGCCGCATGTGACCCAAAACTCTTTCTAGATGCTTCCAAGGTCAATATCTTAATTTCCATCATCTCACTCTAAAGTGGTTCATTCTCTATAAATACCCATCCTTCCTTTCTGCAGTGAGTCACGATTTAACCATAACATCTGTCATGGGTGAGCTTAGCAAATCATCTGGATATCCATTCATCCACGTGATCTCGTACCGAAGCGATATCTGATTGATTCAGATTCTTTTTTCTCATTTCTTTCATGAATTCTCCTAATTTTAATTCATTTTCTGCTATTCAAATCGATGAAATCACCAATCGATGTTCATCGAGGTTAGATTCATTCATTTCGTGGTTGAATCGGAAATAGATTCGTTGTTTCCGATGGACATGGCGGATGAAATTCAAAGAATTTCGGGTTTGATTTTTTCAGCCGCGATTTCTCTATTTAAACTTGTTGACGGAATGTGTTTAAGAACCTTCGTAAGGAAGGTAAGGTGGAAAGGATCAGAGAGCAAACGCTGTGGATGCAGAGGGTGTTCTAAAGACTTTCCTCCGTTTAACTGCATAAGCGATTTTAATCGTTACAATAAAATGGTAACGATGAGAAAATATATTATCTATAATCAAACTAAAGAGTTTGTAGTTAAGATCGTATTCAATGAATACGTAATTATGTATGTGGTTTTCTTTTAAATTTCAGTTCACTTATTCTGTTTGTATCCTATGAAGATGTAAACGTTTGTATTCTCTGAAGATGTAAAACATGCAATGTGAAGTTGTTTTTCTAGTACTACCATTTAAGACTATTGTATTTTGGGTATACATTCTAATAAAAATGTTTAACTATCAGTTATTGTGATGTAATTTATATCTGAACTGTATTACAAATATCTGATAAAAAAAACTCTTAAATAAAGTGAATAAATTTAACCCAAAAAATTAGTAGTTTGAAGTAAATGAAAAAAAGTAATTAATCCAAGTTATGACAAAATACGAGTATGGATTTTTGTGTTTTTATGAAAATTATATAATATATTTTTGTGTTTTTAATTCGTGAATTAAATGTAATTAATATAGTTTTCTTAAAATATCAGAATTCACAGCAGTTAAACCAGCTTTATAAAAACCAACTTTATAAAATGATAAAATATTTAAGCATCATAAAAATGCGATATCTAAAAAGGTTGTAATAGTAGGAAAAACTACGAAATCTTATGTTATTTAACCTTCATTTGTTGACGTTGATGACTGCTTAAGAGAATTTGGGAAAAAAAAATAAAGTAAAATTTAAGAAAAGAGACAACACCATCTTTAATGCTTACTTTCGAGTTACCTACGATAATCAATGTTTAATTGTATAAAATAAAGCATATAAATGATGATCCAGATGGAACTGTAGTTGTTGGGTTATGGGAAATAATATAGCGTCCGACGACTTAAAAAGTGACATAAACCTGAATGGGAGAGTGTAGAAATTAAATCAAAGAAAAGATAAACGTTAATATGCTAAGGGGCCGTTTATTAAACGCTTACTCGGGTAAGTAAACACCAAGTCATGTTACCTTACCGGATGAATATGGTAAGGACCAAGAATCTTACCCAGTAAGAACGAAACAAGGACCAAGAGTCTTATCCGGTAAGTGAGAGGGACGACTGTTACTACGGTAAGCGCTTAGCGGGTAAATTGTTGCATACGATACCATTTTGGTGGATTAAAATTTTACCCGATAAGTAAATTATATTATTAAATTTTACTGGTAAGCGCTTACCGGATAAATGTTTGGTATCAAAATATATTGAAAGATGCAACTTATCTATTTGGGCATATAATAATGTTGTAATCAACAAATAACAGTCTAGACGGTGTTATTATTATATACATTAAACGAATCGCAAACGAAAAATAACAAAAATAAGGTTGTCAAACTCCCTAAATCCTCATTAAATCATGTTATCACCGTTAATGATTGTTTTTTGGAAATACTTTTCTCGAACGTTTTTGTAGTCAAGATTTGGAGGTTGTTACATAGTCGATTACATGCAACAATAATGCCGTAATCATCACATGTAATACTAAATCAAAGACGTATGCAACCTAGTTTGTGGGCCAACTTATTCGTTCACCACCAAATCCTTTCACATGTAATAAGAATATTTTTATATTTTTAAATTTTTGTAAAATAAAGATGTATTTATTATATATATTTATATATAAAATATTTGAATAGAATAGCAAAATGATGTGATCTCTATATAATAATAATAATTTATTAAAAAGGAAATAATGAGTTTTTATTGTCAAAAAATGGTTATGCATTGATTTCATGTTTCATGTGACCGCAAAGTCTTTCTAGACGCTTCTAAGGTCAATATCGTAATTTTGTAACCCGACACCTAAAGTGGTTCATCCTTTATAAATACCTACCATTTTCCTTTCTGTAATAAATCATAAACAACTGCCTTGGAATTGAGCTTCGTGAATCATCTGGATATCCATTGATATCCATGTGATGCGATTTCTGAACAATTCAGATTCTGTTTTCTCATTTCTTTCATGAATTCTCCTAATTTTGATTCGTTTTCTGCAAATCAAATTGATGAAATCACCGATCGATGTTCATCGAGGTTGGATTCATGGATTGTGTGGTTGAATCGAAAGTGGATTCGTTGTTTTCGGTGGATATGGTGGATGAAATCCAACGACTGTTTTACTGGTTTGGGTCTGATTTTTTTCAGCCGTGATTTCTCTATTTAAATTTGTTGACAGGATGCGTTTAAAAGCAAGGAAGGTAAGATGGAAAGGATCAAAGAGCAAACGCTGTAGATGCAGAGGCTGTTATGAAGGATTTCATCCACATGTATAAGTGCTTTTGATCGTTCTTAGTATAATAAAACTGAAGATTTAATCAGATATTTCAAGATTTAAGATAAAATAGTGAGATAATATGTTATATACACTTGAAGTCGATAAAAAAAATGGTGTCATCAAAATATATGTATGTTGTATTTTCGATTTGTATCCTATGAAAATGAAAAACATGTAGTGTGAAGTTCTTTATTTTAGTAGTAGCATCAAGGACTGTTGTATTTTGAATACACATTTTTTTATTAACCTGGATATCCAACCTGCTATACGAGCCGACTAATTTCATGGCAACCACCTGCTTTGCAGATAGCCCGAAGTCACCGCATTTGAACCTCCGTTGCCACAAAGGGATTTTTATTCCTCCTTGGATTTGAACCTGGAACCTCCTGTTACTTTTGATCTTTGGAGTCAAGCTCAAACCAATCAAGCATCACCCTTTTGGTTTTGAGTACACATTTTTAATAAAAATGTTTAATTATCGTCACTTGTTATTATTTATGTCATAAGATTAACATTTGATAAAATATATTATTAGGCGTAAATTAATATTTGATAAAAACTCTTAAATATCTTATACCGATTTGAATAATTGATAAAAAAAAATCTAATATCTATACTATATCATAAAGTATTTGATAAAAACTATTAAAACCCATTTTTTATACATGAAATATTGTTTATTGATACGTATTATTTAAAATTCAAGATTACAAGTAATCTTGCGCAAGTGCAACTTATTAAAGCTTCATTTTTCAATTTGTGTAACTAATTGCAAATAAAAATAATCAAATACAGGATAAACATTCATTTTAAGTATAGAAAATCTAAAATATAATTAAGATAATCATTGAGCTCTAACAACATGTTTAATTATTATATTTATAAAAAACTATATTGTTAAAGCAAAAATTAATTACTTTCGTATTAAATCTAAATTAAATTATAATAAAAAGTTGAATTAAAGAAATTATACCAAAAAACAAGAATTATTAAATAGTTAATTTGATATTAATATCGATATATTTAAAAAAAATATGATATTTTTAAATTTATATTTCATTCAAAAATAAAAATATTATCTCTTTTTCAAAACCATATAAAAATCGTATTATATCGATAGAGACAAAGAAAAAAATTAAACATCAAAATCAAAATTTATCTCGTTGCATTATGCGAGTACCCTTATAGTATATATATCTCGGATGTTGAATTGAAAATTATAAAATTTTCTTTTTTATTATGATTTTATTATTTTAGATTAACAAAAAGAGTAATTTATTTTACTTTTAATGAGAGGGTATTTTCTTGTGTAATAAATAAAATAATTTAGAGAATCTTCAATTGAATGCTTGTAAAGAAAGAAATATTATTATATTGTTTTCATCAATTAAATAGTAGAAGTTTGTTAGGATACTCATTTATTCCACATTTATTAATATAATTAATATTAAAATTTAAAAATGGAGAAAGTTTGTTAGACTTGGACTTAACTTTTTCATTTTTGGAAAATTTTGATTTTTTATTTCATTTTACATGAATTACAGAAAAACCCTTACAAGTTACATATTTGGGTTCCGTTTCATGTGAAGCATTCTAGATTTCTCTAAGGTCTGAATCGTCATTAAATTTTATTTTTCTTATACTTCTTAATCTTAACTACGTTGTTAATTCATCTAACTCGTATCAACAAACCCGAAGCCGTTGTTCGCGGTATGTGAATCACAATAAACCAAAATAAATACGACAAGGGGCGAACGAAAAGAAACATGGAACCCATTAAAAGACGACATATATTAAGATGTGTTTTGTCTAACGATCGTGTAAAAATGAAGTAGAAGATAAGCGACACGAGACAACACCATCGTCACTGCTTACTTCCCGGTTACCCAATGTTACATACATGCTGTTGATCCAAATACAACTGCCACTGCTGCATCATAGAAAGTAATCTGGTGTCCTACGGGTTACATCTGGCTCTCCTCTCCTTGGGGCTGGTTCAAACTGCCATTCAGACATATATTCTCAATAAGCTGGCTTTCATGTTTCAATTGCCCAAAAATTGAGGATATCTATACTTCTGTGTGAGATATACCGAGTCTGTTTGGTTTGGTTTGGTTTGGTTTGGTTTGGTTTGGTTTGGTTTGGTTTGGTTTGGTTTGGTTTGGTTCGGTTCAGCCATTCAGGGTTTAGTGAAGAAGTTTGACAGGTCGATTAGCATGTAATCCTAAAAAACATGCATCAAAGGTCGAACCCTAGAGTCAAGGCATCGGGGAGAGTTGTACCTGAATGAAAGTGTGACCTTTGCAATCATCTACTTCAAGAACCGAAGCCATATTCCCACATCGGTAACAATAATTAGGCGCGCTAAAGATTGTCACAACCTTTTGTTCCTGGTACAACCAAATGCATAATTGGTTAAAGAAATCTTGAATCAAATGATGAGATTTTTAACGATGAAATCTTTTAATAGACTTACATGACCCCAATTGAATCCCTCCATAACCAGCTGGTGTGCTCTGGCAATCAGCTTTAAGCTGTTGGTATGATTAAATTGTTCAGATATATCCTGATAAATAAAGTACCAAATGACGAAATATTTAGCAACCTGTTGAAATAAGATTTGACAAGATAAAAGGAAGGCAAAGGAGAGACTTGGCCGAACGTATAACCAGCACCCCGGGGTGAGATACCCCAACCACAACGATCATCAGGATCAGACCATAAAAGATCACACATGGGCCCCTCGTGGGGAACTTCTTGAACCCGATCAAAATTCCGTATGTTATCAAGAGTTTCAATCGAAGGCGACAATCCACCATGAAGACAGAAAATCTCAGACTCCACCTACAAACCAACATAATGCAAGTAGAAATCAAAATTGAGCACAAAAATCCTCATTATAATTGTTTGGATTTCAGAGCATGGATCAAATTGCCAAAAACGAAAAGGGTATTGCAATAAATCCTGGATATAGAAAATGGGACAAAGTTACAAACTGATACTAACCAATGCAGTCAACGGAAGATAGTCGAATAGATCCGTAAAGATCTTCCACACACTAGCATTACCATATCTGAAATATAAGGAAACTATCATATTTGCATAACGAAAGTAACAGGAAGAACGTGCTCAAAATATGGCGAGAACTAACTTTCTTAGGCATTCATCATAAAAGCCGTAAACTTGAGTGATCTGCAGAAATATGTCATTTGGTATTTAAAAGATCTTAAACGGGCAAAACATTGTGAAAGCGAAATGAAAATAACCTAAACCTGTATAGAAGGGGACAAACAACCAAAATAGAACTTCTGCTGATTATAAACTATAGCTATCGTCCGGCTCCTACTAATGCTATAATTTGAGGTCAGAAACACACTTCCTGGGTGATACAGACACAACCATCCTGTTAAAGAAGCAAATGCATAATACGAGTTAGAATATAGCAGAAACGCGTACCTGCCGACTCTCATGGTTTCCTCTTAATATAGTTATTCGTTGTGGATATCGCACTTTCAGGGCCACCAATAGCTGAAAAAGAAAATGGACCCATATAATCCAAACATTCTCGATTCACAAGAAAAATATTGCAGCAAAAACTTACCGTCACTGTTTCAACTGAGTAATAACCACGGTCAACATAATCTCCCATGAACAAGTAATTTGTATCGGGGCACTGCAAGAAAAAGAGTAATAGCAAAAGAGCAACATAATTAGCTCAAAACTCGAATAAAATGAACATATTGATGGGAAGTATAAATCTATTAAAACAAGAAGACATTAGCAGACTATTTCAATAACAAAATGCTCCAGTCGTATAAAAACATAACCACGTTAACTAGGGTCATAATAAGCGGCATTAAACAAAAATATAACTAGTCAGATATAGCAAAAATTATCGGCTTTCACTGTCTTAATTTGAAAATGATTTCTAATTGTCTGAATGGAACCATCATATTTGTTTCACGAGCTCTGTATGCAAACATTTTCGCTTATAACCTGCCTCAAATTGAGACCGTAGTAATTTCATAATCTTCGTTCTAGTACATATATTGGTACCATAAAAACAAGAAGGATAATTATTGTTTAATTACAACTGTAGTTAGTACACAAAATCCATAATTATGACGATAACAAGAGCACCCACCTTCCCTCCGATTCGAAAAAGCTCTGCAAGATCATGGAATTGCCCATGAATATCACCACAGATTGTTACAGGACTTTTCACAGGCTGCAAAAAGAAATTTGCAGAATGTTTATGGAACTACCACAAAGACACAAGGCAGAGCTATGCACGTAAAGCATATAAAATAGAAAAATTAAGACTTTAAATTAAAGCGTCCCAAATTTTAACTATAGAAAACGAAAATACCTGCACATTGCTTTCGTCCATTAGGATCTCCTTTGCCTTTTCACATAACACCCTAACCTACATAGCACCGAAAAGCTTTCCTTTACTACAACTGAAGTGCCAAAATGAATATGATTTACGTAAAATAACTGAGAAGGCAATATAAAGGTGTCTGATTATGCATTATGTTTGTCGTACAATGTCTTGGCAATTTAAATCATCAAAAGAAGATTCGAAAGGGTAAGGATAATAAGAAGGATTCTTTCGATGATACTTAGTATCCAGTCTACAAGGTTTAAACCGAATCAAGTGATGCAAACGATGGTATTAATTACAGAAGAGTTATAGAAAGAAAAAGGGTATTTAGAGGCACAAATTTTCCTAAACAGCCTTTCTCCATGCTACAACATAAGTATAATACATAGGTTTCACAGATTAATATACATTAGAATAATCCTGCAATAGATTGTTTCCTGCGGTACAAATACATTTTTGATAATCCTCGATCTATTTGGTGAAATCACATTTAAGAAGTACGACTTTTGGTTTTTATAATATGCTTGATGACAACCAAAAGTATGTTCATAACTACTCAATAGAGTCTTTAAGGAATTGGCATTGGATGTAAATGGAAAACCAAACTCCTCTTAGCATATTCTCATAAAGCAATTGATCAACACAGTTCATCGATTCCAGAAGCATAACTTGTTCCAATACATCCATATCATGTAACTAAATGACTACCAGATGAAAAGGAATGTACAAATGAGAGGGAATACTTAAGAAATAATCTTTCAGCAAATCCAATTATGGTTAAGATAATGATCTTTTCTTGTCCATTTTCTGTCTGAATTTGTCGTACAAATTGTGTTGGCCTTCATCTTATCCTATGTTGGACTCAGAGCCTAATTCGGGTTGTAATTTGTAAGTTGGTTTATCATTTCGCAGATCCACTTGTGTTGGACTTCATCTTTGTACCATGGCAGAATTCACAAAATACTACAAAACCTTAACACCACCCAAGATTCATGTGCCATTTAAATACCATGATTTTCAGAAACGCTTTCAATGCCATATTAGCATGGTTGTACAGATGTCAAGCCATAACCCAAATAGCAAATCTTTTAACTATGCAATTGAAACTTGATGGTAATTAGACACCATAATTAGATCATTCAGAAAACCACACTAATCTAACTTATGAAATCATAACACTGAAATTACCAAAACTGACTCATTAAATGTTGAGTGTCAAATAAGATATTTATTAAGCAAAGAAGATGGTCCAGCCAACAGTACAGCCAACCAACCAACCAAATGAATGCAATTTATGGACAGCAAATCAGCTACTTGCTGTTTCATCCAGCACTTGGACCATCAAGCATACTCCCATAAATGACTTTACTTAGGGCTTCAACCACAACAAGGACCCTCAAAAACTTGCAGATTGCAGTGATTATCTTTCCTAATATTATTAGTTCTGAATCACAAGAACATATATATATATATATATATATATTTATATATATATATATATATATATATATATAGTAATATCAATAAACAAGATTTCTCTCTTCAATAAACCTCAAGCAAACTGGGATCAAAAACTTAAGTTGCCAGCCCATTGACAAATCCATGTAATTCACCAGCCAACCCACAAGTTTGAGATTTAAACTTAAAGACCACTAGGTTATTCAAGCAAACTGCTCCCTCTTGGCACAAATACTAATCTTGATTTAGTGAAGAAAATCAAACTTTTAACCATACCTCAACTTCCTAGAACATATATACAGAGAGAATTTCCAAAAAAATTCAAACTGAAAACAGAAATCTTAAACTTATTTGCTGTGGATCTGATCGGATAAGCAGATCTGTCTGAACCAAATCCGGGAATCCCATATATCGTCTCAATTATCAGATCAAGCAGAAATACAGTATGATCAACACATAGAGGGATCGAAACTGAAGATCAAATTGGGGTTTGAAAGATTACAACCTCTTGTTCGGACAAGGGTTTGCACTGCATGAGCTGAGAAATATATTCATCGATGCTGCCATGACCGCTAGAAACAGCTGTATCCGAGCTCATATCGTTCCTTTTTGGGTATTGATGGCCAAGAACTTAAATTTTGAATTTATGGGTGCTGATTTATACGACCCAGAAGGAAATTTGGATGAATTTTCGGTTTGGAGTGAGTCAGTGAAAAAGAAAATGAAATGAAACCCTTCTTATCGGCTTTTTGTTTTTTGGTCTCCAACGGGATCCTTGATGATAATATATGTTTAAGCGGTAAACTAAACTAAAAGGGTTTGGCGGCGAGATGCATCTCAATTTTAATATTTTATTTTATTATTTATCTTTGTTGATAGATAATAATGATTTTATTTTTAAATAAAATATAAATTT